AGAGGGCTGGGTACAAGTCTGGATGAGATACAGCTAGATTTTCAAATGCTCTACCTGAAGTGTACAGAAGAAATTTAGGCAGAATGCAGTGATGATGTTGGTGGATGATGCTGGGAGATGTATTTAAAAGATATTTAATAGAGCCGAAATGATTCATTATAAAAATAGGAAAAAGAAGAAAAACTTGCAACTCAAAGTTCGAGGAAAGAGGAGGGAGAGTGACAACTAAAGAATGTAGCAACGTCCAGGGAAACTTTTTTTTTCTTTCTTTCTTTTTTTTTTTGAGACAGAGTCTCGCTCTGTCACCCAGGGTGGAATGCAGTCGTGCAATCTCAGCTCGCTGCAACCTCTGTCTCCCAGGTTCAAGTGATTCTTGTGCCTCAGCCTCCCGAGTTACCTGGAATTATATAGGTGCACACCACCACTCCTATTTTTTCTTTTTTTGTATCCAAGCTGGTGTGCAGTGATGTGATGTCAGCTCACTGAAACCTCCATCTCCCAGTTTCAAGTGATTCTCCTGCCTCAGCCACCCGAGTAGCTGGGACTACAGGCACATGCCACCACACCCGGCTAATTTTTTTTTTTTTTTTTTTTTTTGAGACAGAGTTTTGCTCTTGTTGCCCAGGCTGGAGTGCAATGGCACGATCTTGGCTCACTGCAACCTTCACCTCCCAAGTTCAAGTGATTCTCCTCCCTCAGCCTCTTAAGTAGCTGGGATGACAGGCATGCGCCACCACACCCAGCTAATTTTGTATTTTCTTAGTAGAGACAGGATTTCTTCATGTTGGTCAGGCTGGTCTCAAACTCCCAACCTCAGGTGATCCACCTGTTTCGGCCTCCCAAAGTGTTGGGATTACAGGCATAAGCCACCACACCTGGCAAAAAAACAAAAAAATAGTTCCAAAATGGAAGAGTTCCAAAAAATTATTACAGTGTAGAAATATTTGGCTCCTTCTGTAAGATTCAAAGAACACGTAACCTCTATCTACTTCAGAGGAAGAAAGTCACAGGGTGAGGTGAAAAGATAATAGGATGTTACAAAAGAAGGAGCATGATAATAGGACAATACATAAGAAAAGATGATAGTGAAACTAAAAATATATAGCAGAATTAAAATCTACCTGGATGCAGTACAGAGCTGAAAATCATAGTAGTAATTGAAAACTATTTATTCCATAATTTTAAGAACAAAAATTGAATAAGATGAAATACAGAAGATAAGTAAGAGAAGGCTGGGTGTGGTGGCTTACACTTGTAATCCCAGCACTTTGGGAGGCCAAGGCAGGTGGATCACCTGAGGTCAGGAGTTCGAGACCAGCCTGGCCAACATGGTGAAACCCCATCTCTACTTAAAGTACAAAAATTAGATGGGCATGGTGGCAGGTGCCTGTAATTCCAGCTACTCAGGAGGCTTAGGCAGGAGAATCACTTGAACCCAGGTGGTGAAAGTTGCAGTGAGTCGAGATCACACCATTTCATTCCAGCCTGGGGTACAAGAGCAAAACTTCTAAAAAAAAGAAAAAAAAGAAAAGAAGTAAGAGAAATACAACTAGGAATTGTAAGTTTTCCCAGGGACTAAAACAGAACACTTGTGATAAAATACAAAATCAAAGACATAGTAAAAGCAAACATTCTACAGCAGAAAAAAAAGATCTGCTATTCTGCAAAGGAAGAAAAACTGGGCAGTTATCAGCGACATGAAACACCAAGCATTAAATACCGGTGGTGGTGAAACAATATCTTCAGAGTCTCAAGAATTCTTTTACCTCTGCATATAAAAACAACAGAATATAAGAGCTTAGAAAACATACTCATCACCCCTTCTTGGGGAAATAAAGAGTTGACTTGAAAACTTAATTTGGAAGTTCACTGGAAAGCTGAATCAAACTTTAGTGTTTAAAAAGGGAATTTTTTTTTAAACTTTTAGGTTCACAGGTATGTGTGCAGTTTGTTTTGTAGGTAAATTGCATGTCGTGGGGGTTTGGCATACAGATGATTTTATCACCCAGGTAATAACCATTGTAATTGATAAGTAGTTTTTTGATCTTCACCATTCTCCCACCCTCTGCCCTCGAGGAGACCTCACTGTCTGTTGTTCCCATCTTTTTTTTTTTTCTTTATTTTACCTTCTTTATGTTCATATGTACTTGAGATTTAGTTCACACTTAGAAGTATGAACATGCAGTATTTGGTTTTCTGTTCCTGTAGTAGTTCGCTTAGGATAATGGCCTCCAACTCCATCTATGTTGCTGCAGAGGACATGACCTTGTTCTTTTTTATGGTTGTGTAGAATTCCGTGGTGTGTATATATACACACCACATTTTCTTTATCCATTCTACCACTGATGGTTGATTCTATGTCTTAGCTCTTGTGAACAGTGCTGCAGTGAACATACAAGTGCATGTGTCTTTATGGCAGAATGATTTATATTCTTTTGCATATATACCCGGTAATTAGATTGATGAATCAAATGGCAATTCTGGTTTTATTTTATTTTATTTTATTTTATTTTTGTATTTATAGAGATGAGGTCTCACTATGTTGCCCAGGTTGGTCTCGAACTCCTGAGATCTCGTGATCCTCTCAACATCAGCCTCCCAAAGTGCTATGATTACAGACATGACCCACCATGCCTGGCCTGTAATTTTGTTTTAAGTTCTTTAAGAAATCACCAAACTGCTTTCCACATGGCTGAACTAATTTCCATGCCCACCAGTAGTGTAAATATTCTGTTTCTCAGTAACCTTGCCAGCATCTGTTTTTGTTTTTTGTTTTTTTTTACTTTTTAGTAGTAGCCATTCTGACTGGTATGAGAGAGTATCTCATTGTGGTTTTGATTTGCATTTCTCTAATGATTAGTGATGTTGAGTATTTTTTCATATGCTTGGTTGCTGCGTGTATGACTTCTTTTGAAAAGTGTTCATGTCCTTTGCCCACTCTTTAATAGCATTGTTTGTTTTTTGCTTACAAATTTAAGTTCCTTATGATTCTGAATATTAAACCTTTGTTGGATGCATAATTTGCAAATATTTCCTTTCATTCTGTAGGTCGTATGTTTACTCTATTGATTGCTTGTTTGGCTGTACAGAAGCTCTTTAATTAGGTCCCATTTGTCAATTTTTGTTTTTGTTAAAATTGCCTTTGGTGTCTTTGTCAAGAATTCTTTTCCCATTTCTCTATCCAGAATGGTATTTCTTGGGTTATCTTCCAGGATTTTATAGTTTTAGATTTTATGTTTAAGTCTCTAATCCATCTTGAGTTGATTTTTGTATATGGTGCAAGGAAGGGGACCAGTTTCAGTCTTCTGCATATGGCTAGCCAGTTAGTTATCTAAAAGGGGAAATTTTTTAATTTCAGAACAAGTAGTGAGAGGAAAAATTAACATAGAGTTCGGTCTAAATAATTATAAGGCATAATTTGAGTGGTGGTTGTTATGAGGGGAAAAATGAGAAATATGCATATGCTACATTCCTCCTCATTTATGAGGGTGTCAGAAAATACCATTTAAATCTTGATGCTGATAGAAAATATATGCTACCAGTCTTACCTATTGTGTGAGTAGCATTCAACTATGGAAAATAAAACAGTGACACTTCTTATACACATCTACTGGCAGTATAAACTAGTACGGTGTCTCTGGAGGGCAGATTTGTAATAAATATCAGGAGTCTCAAACTAGTCATAATGTTCAGATTCAGTAATTCCACTGTAAAGTAACTGAGAAGAGCATAAAAAGACGTACAGGCCGGGCGCAGTGGCTCATGCCTATAATCTCAGCACTTTGGAAGGCCAAGGTGGGTGGATCACAAGGTCAAGAGATCAAGACCATTTTTAGTGAAACCCTGTCTCTACTAAACATACAAATATTAGCTGGGCATGGTAGCGGGTGCCTGTAGTCCCAACTACTCAGGAGGCTGAGGCAGGAGAATCACTTGAACCTGGGAGGTGGAGGTTGCAGTGAGCCGAGATTGTGCCACTGTACTCTAGCCTGGTGACAGAGTGAGTCTCCGTCTAAAAAAGAAAAAAAAAGATGTATAAAAATGTTTGGTTTTGTCTCTAGATTGACAAGTAATGAGTAACTTTTATTTTTTTCTTTGTTTTACAAATTCTCTATAATGACCTGCACTGCAGTTGTATTGAGGAAAAATCTTGTTTTTAAACAAGATAATAAAAACGTTTTAAAGTAATTTAGACCACAGATGGCAAAGGGCATTCTTATAAACGTAAAGACAAAACTATTGTGTTTTTTAGCATCTACTGGATGTTTTTTAAATGTTGCTAATTTTAGAAACACAAGATTGAATGAAAAAGCAAATTCCAGGAGACTGTATACAGAAAAATACCATTATAAGAACCAGTGCCAAGCAGAACTAAACAGTATGTCATCTGGTCATATGTATAAAGTTATCAAAGATTTTGATGTTGTTAATGTATACAAGACATGATGAACACAAAACTTTTTGTTGTGATTATTTTGTATATATTTGATGTCAACTGTAAGACCAGCAACTGTAAAATACATCTTTTTTATATTCCCAGCACTTTGCACATAGTGTAATACTTATTTTAAAAATGAATTTACTGACAGTAATAAAAACATTTGCGAGTAATCATTATTATATGTATAAACTGTCTACACTTTTTAGCCTAGTCTCTCTTACAGCTCTTTATATGTATTTATGAAACTGCTATAGAACATTAGCAAATGTTGCATTTGCTTTTAAGTTCTCTCCCAGCAGTGTCCTGTGCCATGTTCCTTCTAGGTTTCTGGCAGCGTGAGAATAGAACTCATGGAGAGAGAACCTTTAATCCCCCTTCCAAGGAAGTCAGTTCTCCCTGGTCCAGAGATTGCAAAGTGTAATTATTTTTCAGGAGAAAAACACTGTTTGTAAGCATCATTCCTACCTGTGTCCCAAAAGACTGAGTTCATTGATTTATTGAGCTTTTAACAAATAGACCGTGCCTGTATTCTTTTCTAAATGTATATTTTACAATTTAGGTCTGCGTTTCTTGGTTCGTCTCTGCACAGATCTTGGATTAAAAGATGCTCAAGAATATGCCAGAAAACTGAAGAGGTTGGAAAAAGTGAAAGAAATAAGAGAACAGGTATCTCATATGGGCCTACAACTGCTATCTGCTAATTTTCAGAATGTAAGCCTTCTGTAGCTCAAATGTGTGATGTTAGGAACTTCTATAAGAGAACAGAGTTGAAGTTTTTTTCTGCCCTGACATAGTAGGAGAATAACTAAAACTCTAGTTTGAGGATAAAACTCTGGCAAAAGTGAGTTCCCAGGGAGAGGAAGTGCAATGGATTTCTTATTATCTTAGTGGATAACTACTAACAGACAAATAATTATAATTTTCCACAACATGAAATAATTTACAGCTTAATTTGAAGCCATAATTTTAATTGGAAAGTCCTGTGGACCATGACAGACAATTACTTCTCTACAACAATGGAATCTGTGTGTGCTTTAACAAGTTTTCTAGGTGATTTTTATTGTCACCAAAGTTTCAGAAGCACTCAGGCTGTATGCTTCTGAAGGGTTACCTTGATCAAATACCAACTCAGGATATAGAAGCTGATTGGAGAGGCGAAAGTAGACATAAAATAAATAAGGTGATGGATTTTTAAAATTGTTTTTAAATGGACAAAGATTTGTATAACCTTAAGAGAAGAAGATAAACCAATTCAGGTTTGTGTGTGGATCGGGGTAATTTCTCTTGCTGAGCCCCTAACTCCTGTTTTAAAATGTTAAAACTAGAAGTTTTATCTAAAATGATTTTTCAGGGAAATTAGTTCTCTTTCTGGAACTATTATGGAAAAGAAACCTGTTCTCCCTTTTGTGCTTCGGGGATCCACACTTTTGGGTAAGAAGAAAACTCTGTACATTGTACATTCATTAGTGCCAGCAAGAAGCAATCGTGGCACTAGGTTTTTGGCCAGGCAAGACAGACTCACTCTCAGCCCTCCATTCCTGATCACTGCAAGCCCCACAGTGGTGTGGACCAGCCCCTGGATACTGCAAGCTATGTAGCAGTGCTGTTTTTTTAAAAAGATGTTTTGCTTTTCCACTTTACTGAACATGAAAAACATTAGCAGACAAACAAAGAGGTCTGTCAAAGCAAGAGTGTATGTTTGGAATAGAACAAAATGGGAAGAGCAGTGCTTGAGGAATGAATATTTTAAATATGAAAAAGGAAGAGAAAAACAGCCAAAAGACCAAAGAAGGTTGGAGAATAAAGGTAAACTATTCAGAAGAAAAAGAAAATAAAGAAATAATAGGCAAAATACAGAATATTTTCATTGCTAAAGATAAAAATGTATTCAGTTTTTAAGTCAAATTTCTGAATTTTCAGAATATTCAAATAGAGAAATGCTGTTTCAATATTTGCTAGTTTCCCCCAAAGCAATCAAGATACAGTGCCAAAAAATGCTTTCTTTTGGCCAGATTGACAAAATAGCATGTGACATTCAAAATTAATATTTCATTGGTACATATACGCAAATTTCCAGTTACTACCAAAATGCATTGAAAAGAAATGTACAATCAAATGTACAATCAAGTTGAGCAGAAAACCTTTTTGGTTTCATTTCTTGAGAGAGATTCTGCCAGGTGAGGTGGCTCATGCCTGTAATCCGAGCACTTTGGGAGGCCAAGTCAGGCCGATCACCTGAGATCAGGAGTTTGAGACCTGCCTGTCTAACATGGAGAAACCCCGTCTCTACTAAAAATACAAAATTAGCTGGGCATGGTGGCACATGCTCATAATCTCAGCTACTGGAGAGGCTGCGGCAGGAGAATTGCTTGAACCTAGGAGGCGGAGGTTGCAGTGAGCTGATACCATGCCACTGCACTCCAGTGTCTGTGCAGCAGAGCAACACTCCATCTCAAAAAAAAAAAAGGGGGGGAGACAGATTCAGTATTAAGATATCATAAAGATTTAGTTTTAAGTTTAAACTAAAAAATACAGTTTTTAAAAAACGTTCATATATGTAATGACTACAAGAATGTCTTGTACAATTTATGTATTATTGACAAAGTCAACAAAAGTACTGAAAAGAATATATATCCTTAGTACAAACTGGTGGTGATTTGCTTGTTGATTACATTTTCTGCAGTAAGATTACCAATCACTTCCTCAAGGCCATTAATTGCAGGTTCTCTCATGCATTGCCCTGTGTTAGCCTCTGTTGATTTGCTCAGAAAACATTGATTACAATCTGCCGTGTATGTAGTGGACACAGTGAGACACGGGAGTTGGCCCTGGTGCCCAAGGCACTCAAGGCAGAGCTGTGGGACTGAGAAGGGAGGGTCTTTGCTCCAGAGGAGGGACTCAGAGGCGGCAGTTCCCGGAGGGGCTTGTGTTTTAGAGTGGGTATGACTGGACACTTGGAGTTTGGGGTGGAGAGAAAAAAATGTGGGCATAGGTCTGAGGACAGGAAGTTAAGGCCATGTTTTATGGGTTCTTTGGAATTGAAGCCACCGAGGAATGTTTTAAATTCTGTTTTCTCTTGAATTTACAGACAGGGCCAATCTTCTTAAGAACCCTTAACTGTGTAACAAGTAACTGCTCCTTGTGCCATTGACAAAAACCCAGTTCTTAGGACGTAAAACCATAGTGTGGTGGACAGACCATGTACTTTTTTCCTGACATGACCATTGAGCCAATCCTTGATCCAGAATGGACGTTTGACCTTTCTGGGTCTCATTCTCATCAGCTGTAAAATGAGGATAGTGTTCTAGCTCTGAACTTCTCAAACTATCTGTGGTGAAATTATTTTTTGCCAATCTGTCACTGACATTACTAGAAAAATGATGCTGCACTTGGATGTCAGCAGGGTCCAACATCCAGTAACATTTTGGTTTTCGGCTACGGTCTGAGTTCTTCCTTCTGTTCATCTCATTGAGGACAGGTGGCAGTTTGCGGGCCAGCAGTCGTTTACAGACCCCACTACGGGTAGCCCTGTCTTGGATGACATGTAGGACCCACCAGCTCATAGTGGTTCTTCCAGTCCCCAGAAGAGTAGCATGCAAGTTATGGTCATGAATTCATAATAAAGAGTAGGCTTAAAGGGAAAAAATGTTTATTTTCTCTCTTCCAGTGTTTCGTCATTTAATTTGTTCAGTTATTTTGTGTCTACTCTGTTCCTCTATTCTGTGCCTTTTCTTATATTTTTTTCCAAAGTGGGAGTGACATAACATTTTTTTCCAGATTAGGAGTGCCGTCTTTTTTCCATATTATTAAAACAATAAATGTTCTTTTAAAAATGCAAGAAGATTGCTTTTGTAAATAATTTTTAATTCAAATAGAAATGATTTATATTCCCACCACTTAGACATCACGGTTATCATTCCCCCTTTCCAGGCATTTTTACAAATATACAAACAAATATCAATATATATATATTTAATGCGACTTTCTTATAAACCAAAATGAGATTTTTTACAAAAATGCTGTTTTATATCTTTTTTCACCCAATTTGCAAGATAACATGGACCACTTCCCATGTCAGTACATACAGATTTCCCTCACTTTGTGCTCCATGTTTTGTTACATGGCTGTTTCCTGCACATTTTAGTATTGAGGTGGTAAGAATCATTTGTGTCAATCATTGTTTACATGCTTCCTCTGTTATCTACCATAAGGCCTTACCTCACAACCGCTCAAAAGCGGTAAGAATTTCTGTGAACTTTATGAAGTGGTAAAACTCTGGAAAGTTGAGGGGAATATTTCTGAAAAGTATGTCTCCTACTTGAGCTTTCATGTACCTTATGATGAGAATGTCATCATCACTGTGTTTAACAGGTGTTTACTGTGCTCCTAAAATGTACCCACGCCTGTGCTAGATCTGAGGTGGGTCGCATGTCAGATGAGTCTGTGTGAGACAGGACCCTGGGGCCCCTGAGAGTGTGTGCTGTCATGGCAGGAGCTCCCTGCCCAGTGTGCTCTGGGGAGCAGTGGTGCCCACAGCATAGGGTGTTCCCCGTGGAGTCAGGGAGCCTAGGCTGCAGGCCCTCATTTGCATTAGCTCCTTCTAATAAATTTTTATTTTCGCATTCATTTCATTTTCACAGTTTTATATCCTCTTTCTCAAAAAGCTTCTCCAAAACTGCATAAGCTTCTGGCTCCACACATTCAGCATCCCAGCCAAAGAGCAATGTACTTTATCTATACTTGATCTTTATTTTCTCACTTCCCAGGTGTGCTTTTTTTTTTTTTTTTTTTTTGATACAGAGTCTCACTCTGTCACCAGGCTGCAGTAGTACAGTGGCACAATCTCGGCTCACTGCAACCTCCACCTCCCAAGTTCAAGTGATTCTCCTGCCTCAGCCTCCCAAGTAGCTGGGACTACAGGTGCATGCCACCATGCCCAGCCAATTTTTTGTATTTTTAGTAGAGACAGAGCTTCAACCCTGTTAGGCAGGATGGTCTCAATCTCCTGCCCTCATGATCCGCCCACCTCAGCCTCCCAAAGTGCTGGGATTACAGGTGCGAGCTACTGCACCCGGCCCCTAACCTTGACTACTTCCATTCACACAGCTAAAACGACCCACACTAAGATTAGTCACCTACATCGCAGTCAATACAATAGACACTCTGCCTTTCTGTTCACCTGACTTAGCAGCAGCTTTGTGTATGTGACATCTGTGACACACCCCTCCTGGCTTTCTTCAGTTCCTCTGGACTGCACTGAGGCCACTTTACGTCCATCACATACTTTCAAGGGCAAAGCCAGCTGCTGGGCCAGCCCTGGAATAACCAAGGGACATCACAGAGTCTGTCCTGTTGCCTGGTAGGATTGCCGTTTCCAGCGGCTGTATCTTGGGTGTTTACTTTGCATTTCCAAAGGAAGAACTTAGATCGTGATGGAAAACACTACTGAGCAAAGCTCTGTTGTGTGGTATGAGAGATGTGCAGTTAACTGAGTCTTGACAGTTGAGATTTCTATTTTTCTTACATAATAGGCACATTCTTAGAGATTTCTTTAAACTTAAAACCTTATCAAACTAAGATTTTGATAAATGTTTTGGTTTTACTTTTGAAGTTTCCTTCTCTAACTTCCACGAGAAATCTTTGCTACAGCTATTACAGTGGTTAGTACACAAGACTCCTTATGGTGGAGTTCCTTGATTTTCAACTGCAAATAGGCATTCACTTGGAAAAGAACACCACAGGAGGACGGTGAAGGAAAAAGACAAGCCAGAGTATGACCCTGAGCATAATGAGAGTACATGGAGCCAGCCCCCACTGGGGACACACAGCGGGTCTCTTGAGGAGATGAGGGAGGAGGAAATAGCTAAAAAGAAGATGAGGAAGGGCAGGCAGACAGGGAGTAGCCAACCCATTCATGCAGGGTCCATGCCAGCTGGCATATCCAAGGAGATGCTGTTTTCCTTTTATTCTCTAAGCAGGTGGGACAGTCAGTTTCAAAAGTGATGAGGACAGAAAGTAGTGTCTGAGAAGTGAGGTGGCCTACATGGGGCACAGGTGAGGACCTAAGTGAGCAGTGGGGAGCCCTGAGGCTGGCCTGTTTTTTTGTGCTGATGGAGCTGTTTCCCCAACAGGGCACAGTGTCCTAGAAGTTGGAGAGGAAAGAGGGAAGTCACTGAACCAACTGAGGCTTAGATGTCTCTTGGTGAGTGAAGCAGAAAGACAAAAAGGTGGCAAGGGCCATAGTTCTAATGTCGCATCACTGTATGTGGTAGGCCTCGAGTCTAGACTGGACAGAAAGTAGAAATTTAAAGAGATTAAAAAGAGTGATGAGAGGCAAGGGATTGGAAAATTCTAGATGAGGGCAGGGAACAGGTGTCAGGCAATAAAGAATGTAGTGATTATGGAAGTGCTTACCTTCTCATATCCTTTTGTAAACCTCGGGTCACTTAAACAGGGTGCAAGTTTTCACATGAGGTTTTAAAAACTGTCAAGTTATGTGGGCATTTGCCTTGATAAATATATTTTCAGCATTTTTTTTTCTTGAGAAGTCTCGCTCTGTCACCCAGAGGTGGAGTGCAATGGCGCAATCTCGGCTCACTGCAACCTCCGCCTCCAAGGTTCAAGCGATTCTCCTGCCTCAGCCCCTAGAGTAGCTGGGATTATAGGCAAGTGCCATCACGCCCGGCTGATTTTTCTATTTTTAGTAGAAACAGGGTTTTGCCATATTGTCCAGGATGGTCTTGACCTCCTGACTTAGGTAATCTGTCCACCTCGGCCTCCCAAAGTGCTGGGATTATAGGCATGAGCCACTGCGCCTGCCCTATTTTCAGCATTTATACGCCTTTTTGATGTGCTGGAGATGATATGTCCATGGATAGATGAAAATCAAGTTTTGAAATAAAATCAGATAATGGATGTTTAAATTCTTACTTTGCTACATCTTTTAAAGATTTTCTTTCATCTGTGAAGGCAAGGAGAAAGATGGGGTTTCAAGGGAAGTTCTTTTCCTTTTAATGGAAGAAAGTTATGTTTATGTAACATTTGGAAGTCCCAAGTGTTAGGAGAGTATTTCATCTTACAGAAATGAGTTTACTAATCACCCTATAGCTGTATAAATGAACCATTATACCCATGAAAATTTGACAGTGTGACTTGAGACAGATCCAGTGTTCATACAAAAATTCTAATACTTATACAAAACAGAAAAGAACCACATGATGTAGAGAGAAACCTAACAATGTCACAGCATGGAGATACTTCTTATGCTCTGAAGGTGGGTCTGCATCTAACACAGTGGACTCTTGGACAGATTGAGGTATTTTGTGAGATTTTAATCGTACTTTTATTTTATAAATTGAATTTTGAAACTCAGGTTACCTTTTTTTTTTTTTTTTTACCTCTCAAATAGTTCAGGTCCAACCATTGTAGATGAGGACTGATGGCAGGAAATGGCCCTTTTGTAGATTCCCTTCCCCTCCTCACCTACTCTTCCCTTAAACTAAAGGTCATGTTTAAGCCCTGAATGTTCACATCAAGAAAATATTGTTTGGTTTTGAGTTGTTTATGTAAGCCAAGGTTACACTGCACTTTTGAGTTAAAGTGCCATCTGAGTTTTCTCAAGAACCTTGAACCCTCCACTTACAAAACAACTCAGGCTTTTTTTTTCCCTGTAGAATTAACTCTCAGATCTGTAGTCCTAAGGGTTATGTAGTAATGTTAATTTTAAAATCCACCTTTATCTATATTCAACTTTGAAGGAATATCATTTATTCTTTTAAGCTTGTCTTCTCATTGCTCTAGCGCATAAAGTCCGGCAGAGATGGCAGTGGGGGCTCCCGTGGCAAAAGAGAGGGAAGTGCTAGCAGTGGTAAGTGTTTTCTGTTTCCCTGAAAAACTGTGTTTTCACATTTCTAGGATGTGGGCTTCTAGAAACATCTCACAATAAAGTGTTCTTATGTGTCTGTTTGTTTTATACACAGTAAAACCTCACATTAATTTGGTAAGCGGTCTGATGTGTGAATGAGTATTTGTAAATACTAGCAGATTTTGGTTCTTAAATAACCATGCTTGTTTTTGCTAATTGATTATTAAACAAGTTTTTCATTTATTAATCAGTCTTTCAGGTTGGACAGATTATTATATATGGGCATACTGATGAGGTTTTGCTGTGTTACGTTTTTAAATTTTCCATTTGAAGGAAGTGCCATGAGAAGTAGGATGGTCTTATAGAATGATGGCAGCCCTACATCTTTAGTCTGACTTTTAGTGTAGACTTAGTGACAAACTAGGAATTAGAAGACATGGTGTAAGTCCCAGTCTTGATCATGACAACAAATATATATGTCTTTGGACCAACCACATAAATGCTATAGGCTTTTGATGATTTCTAGAGTTCTTTGCATCTCTCAAATTCTTTTACTCCTTGTGACATCATTACATAATAAGACATTTTATTAAGTTTTCATCCCTTCTTCCCATCAACAGTCTACCTTCTTTGTCTACCTCAGGCAGGCAGTGTAAGTTAAACTTAATAGAAATTTGGTGATTTTGAGGAAGCTAATTTTAAAGATAAATGTCAAGTTGGGGCCTACATTGTCTCCTATGCACACACTCTCATGCATATGTGACCCAGCTCCATGTAACTGTCCAGCTGCACTTTGTCATATCTGTTTGTGATGTAGGAGTCAGGACAAAGACAAATGTAGCTTTTAGGCAGGACTTTCATCCATTTACAGTGTGTATTGGATGCATACTGTGTACACTGTGCTAAGAGCCAAGGACATGGGAACAAATAAGATGTGATCCCCACGCTCAAAATTAGAATCTAGTTTGAAAGACATACAGTCTTCTGATGCTGCTGTGGATGCTACCATGGTAGAGAAACGTACATGAGTTTTCAAACTTTTCTTGGGATAGAAACTGCAATTGGGAAAAAGACTCCTTGAATTCAGAGCTGCAGTCAAAGGTAAGCTGACTTTTGAAATTCAGTTTATAACTTTGTAGGCAGTTACAGGCATCAATGGCATCTGATTCTAGCCAGGCCACTTGATTCCCCCAAGAGTCAATCCAGCATCTCCAGCTAAACCTCATGGTGCTGGCCTGTTTACCTTCAGGAGCCATGACCCAGAGCTGGAGAAATCAGTAAAAGCAGCATTGCCCCCAAGTCTGAAGAGTAACAAAGGCAGTCTGTCACGTCAAAGAGTAACCACTTTCACCTCTTCAGCCACCATGGTCCTGATAGATACTCCTGTCTCCTTGCTGTTCCCTAGCCCCATATATCTCACATACTCCACTTTAATGGATCTGTGTGACTATCTGGGGTTGGATTTAGTTGGAGATATCTGGCCCAGCAGTTCTTCATAAGCCAGAGGCAGCCATAAGCCCACAAGTCCTTATCCAAAATCCCTGGGGCAAGCTGTGTTGTGGAATTCAGAACCTTTTGGAGTTTAGAAAGTAAGATAATGTATTAGCCATGTATCGTGTACTACCCAAGGAGAGTACCTCAGACACATTCTTATTAATTCAATAAAACATGAATATTCACGCTAAGGATAAATGAAGACTGTAAATAGCCTCAAATCAATTTCTATGCCCAAGAAGTTTATATATTGCCACCTGTAAAGTTGGCTTTCAGAGCTCTTTGGAATTTGGAATTATAGATGAGGTATCATGGATGTGTACCAAAAATGTTCTTAATAGCCAAGATGTCCACAGACTAGGCATTATGTAACAGTCGAAAGCAACTCTAGACAGCTCCCCCAGACCAGCAGAGTGCTGCTTGTTCATCCTTTCTGTTAGGAAGCAGGAAGTACATGATATGAGCTCTCTTGGAAATAAGTGTCCCTTTAAGGAATAATTGTCTTGAGTAACAAAGGAAGTATTATTTATTAAAATTCTAGGGCCGGATTCACCATCCCCTAAGGATTCTGCAGTTCTCTCTGAAAATCTTAAGTTCAGAATAACCAGCCAGTTCCTTTTAAACATCAACAACCTTATGTTAAGTTCTCCGAGCCTTCCCTGGTAATTTGTAAGTTTATAAAATCTCTCCCCTTAACCTAAGCCTTAGTTTCCCAGATGTCATCAGTTTGAAAATCCGCCTCAGGACCTTCTAATGAGATGTGATAGGACACCCAAAAAACTGCTGAACAAATGTAGTGCTTCCCTAGAGCCCAGGAGACAGTGTCCAGCGTGCTACCCCCAAGAAAGTAACCCCAGGGAGACTGACAACTGCCTCTCAGAAACATCACATTCATCAGTATGCCTCAGGCCACCACAGGTCCAGATCCTCTAACAGGAAGAATTGCCTAGCCTCCCTGGTGACCTTTTCCCTAGCCCTCTTTCAGTCATGCTGGGCGTCAGAGCATGGAGAGGGCTTCACCTGGCCAGGGACCTCCTCCATGGTTAGGGAAGGAGGGACTGACAAGGAAGAGAGGTAGGGCCACCCCAAATCTGACACCTGTGTGCACGAAAAGAGAGGCTGTCCTGTCGAAGAGTCCCCTTCTGGTCCTGGCCTCCCACTGCCGCTTTTTCTTTTTTAATCCATTTTCCTTTCTTTCTTCCAGTCCCAGTCCAACACAAATAGTCAGTTCTGGTGCACAAATAAGCTTTATTCTCACATGAGAGACTTGCAGAGTATAAACTCTGCTCTCGAGGCATTTTACAATCAGGGTTGCTTATTGCTAGGTTCTTCTGGCACAAATTGAGAGCACTCGTCAGTCCCTGTCTAGGGTGCTTTCCCCCATCTGCCTTTTCGTTCCTTATTTTCTGGTATCTCAAGTTGTACATCATCCCAGATTTTTTCATTTCATCCTGCATCCCAGTTTGAATGCTGCTTTCTATGGCTGAGCTCATTCCACCCTGACGCTTTTGCAGGAATCGTGTTTTCCTTCCCCCTTCTCCAGTTCTCAGCACAGGCCACACTCCAAGGCTGGCCCTGGCTGTGAAGTTGGAATGAACCCAGGCTCTGAGGCTTCTCTCCCTTTCTTCTTCCTTTTGAATTCAAAGTCTTGGTATTGAACAGTATTTATATTCTCTGCAGATAAACTGATGAGGGGAATAAGTATATTCTGCCTGTTGTTTTTGCTGAATTTTGTTAAAGGTCAGGAAATTCACAGGACACATCTGCTTCTCATGTGTAGCTGTCCTCAAGACACAAGAATTCCTTCTTGAATGGCATTTTCTATTTTTGCATGATAGTGGCATTTTGTGACTTATTTTGTGTATGGTGTTATTAAACTTTCATTTTTTAAGTGCTTTTTGTTTTTCCCTATGTGATTTTTAATGGCTTGCTGCATTTTTGAGTTTGATTTTTGTCTTAGGTATAAACTTTTCCAATGAAAATGTATCAATTTTAGACTAAAAATAATTTTATAATGAAAATCAGAATAAGACTCGGTGAACAGAAATTCACTTTATGGTATCTTTTATACATGTTTTGTTTTATTTAAAAACCAACTGAAGTTGCATTTTAAGATTCTAGTCCAAGGTTGAGTGTGGCTAATTAACCCCTTTCCACAGTTCTGCTGGGCCTTAATGGTATCACAAGCCGAGAATGAACAAGTCATGCTCAGTGCCCACCAGGGAGGACGAGACAAGGAGCATACGTTCTGAGAAGGTGCATAGACCTAAATGTAGAGGCCAACACAGCTCAGCCAATTACAGGAGGAAGAGGTGGGCATCTCTGTGGGGAGGGAGTCTTAAGAGACCGGAGGGCAGGTGCTGTCACTTCTCCAAGGATCATGCCTATCAGCTTCACTCCCAACTTGCATGTCACTTCACCCCGTAGATCTAGACCATAGTTTTGCTGGATACTCTAGTATATCGCCCACTTTGTAGCAGACATGTACCACAAAGGAAGCTTGATGAATAATAAGCGTTAGAAGATAGTGAACAGCACCAGAGCACCAAAGTAGTCTCAGTGTTACAGTTCTAGAAGAAGTTTGCCTATGCCAGTATTCCCAGCTGGTGTAATCTGCCAGTGTGTCCCCTGTGTTCTGATACAGTAATTCTCAGTAATTTGGGGTGTGCAGACTTTTTCTGTAAAGGGACAGATAGTAAATAGTTTAGGCTTGGAGGCCAAGTCTCATCTGCAAAGAATATACCACTCTGCTGTTGTATATTGAAAGCAGCTGTACACAGTATATAAGTGAATAAACATGATAGCATTCTATAAAACTTAATTCTTGGACACTGAAGTTTTAATGTTACATAAGTTTTGTATGTCACAAAATATTATTCTTTACTTTTCTTCCTAACCATTTAAAAATGCACAAATCATTAGCTTGCTGGATAGACAAAAACAGGGCAGGCCAGATTTGGCCTACAAACTGTGGTTTGCTAGTCCCTGCTCTAAGCCAAAATCTCCATGAATATTTTTGATAATGACAGGTGGTGCCTAGGAATTATTGTTTGGATCAAAGCACTGCTTGCAGCCATTTCACCCTAGTATACAGCTTGAACGATAGGAGTCTGTATCAGTGAGCTTCTTCTCTTAAAATCATCTTAGTTGTTTATAACTCACCCACCTTACTATGTCAACACACATCACAGAGCATATGATGAGATTTTTGTGTCTTCAACAGAACATGCACCTTTCCTCTTGCCCTTAGCCTGTTGCCCTGAGTTTTCGATCCTTGTCATTAATCTTCATTCCTGGTATTCATTCAACGTCCATGGACCCCCTTTTTGAACTCACCACATCTTATGTGAACCTGGACAAGTTACTTAAATCTCTTTGTCACAGTTACCTCATCAGTAAAATGAGAGTAAAAATAGGACCTCCTGAGAAGGTTGCTGAGAGGAGGAAATGGGCTCTTGTGGAAAACTCTTAGAGCAACTCCTGATAAGGGCAAGCACTTGCAAGGGTGA